AAATCCCCCAGGTTAAAAACCTACCGGATAAAATGCCACCGGATTAAATCCCTCTCGACCAAATCCCACATTTGAAACAAATCCCCTTAGGACAAAATCCCTTATATTTGCGTTAAACAAAAACCGAACTCTAAAATTGAAAATTAAATTAAACTTGGTGACCATAAATACCGTTAAGATTAAAACAGAAGCATAAACATAAGTAAACCAAAATTGAACTAAATTTAAACGATAAATTGACAGCAATAGCTTTCAAATAGTCAATCTCCTTGTAATTAGCCGCTGAACATACTCTGCGTTTTATACGCTCAATGTTATCTTCTTTCCTCGCGTGCACTTTCTCGCCTAACTGCCACTGAGATAAAGTAAAGGCCTGCAAGGAAAGCTGTCTTTGAATGGCTTTGATGAATTTTCAGATATCTGGGTTTGACATTTGAAGCATGGACTCAAAACCGCGGTTAAAAATTTCAAGAGCGTTGTTTGTTCTTGGCAGGTCGTCAATTGGCCGGAAACATACATTCCATATATCTTTGAGGAACCTGGTCTTCCTCTGTGAGGCCTTTTCCTTTCCGACAAATGTATCCTCAAAACAATTTTTAATGTCTTCTGGGATCTGGTAGCTCTTGATCACAGTTTTTTACCACTCCTCAACATGCAGTGGCTTTGCAAAAGCAAGCGCAGCCAAGAGGCGTATGAACACCTTGTAACCTTTGTCTTTCCAATAGTGAACGGCATGACTGAATTCGAGTATATTTCTGTAGATAGCCTGAGAAAAACGAAAGAAACTTCCCTTTTTTTCGGTTTCTGCGAAAATGTCTCCCACGGAGTTCATCGTAGCCATTTCAAAGTCCATCATAGCATAATCTGCTGCTTTCAAATCTGACTTGAGATTGGACCAGAGTGCATTGTATGTGTTTTGACGCTTATCCGGGAGGAGTACGTAAATGGAGGGGAAAGTTGTGCCTTCAACAAATCAATGCACTGTGTAGACCTGGCAGTAGTTGTTCACACTATCCCGCACCCCCACCTCACTGGAAAGGTGGGAATTCTGTTCCCCCGTGGGGGGTAAATTCAACACTTTTTGTTCAAAATGACATGTTTGAGGTTCGATCTCACGCCGACTCAACTTAACTTATTTTCGTTTGACTTACTGACTCTGCCACGTGGCTGGTTGTTTTTGGTGATAAAAGCGCTCTTTTGAATAAAGTCAAATGAAAGTTGGATAGTTAAATTTCTAAAGAGTCACGTCAAAATGGCGATGCGTGCATGCTTTTTGCTTATATGGAAGTGACATTGAAGTAGCTTTAAATGAAAAGTCATTTCAAAAAGCCCTAAATATATACTTTTAAGTTCCCTGGATGATAAGTTAAAATATCGGGGGTTTTGTTCTAGGGGGATTTATTCTTTGGGGATTTTATTCTGGGGGAATTTGTCCTGGGGAATTATATCCTGGGGGATAAAGTTTGTGCTCAAGTTGTTTGTGCTCCAACAATTGTTTATGCTCAACCTTGGTTTTTGGTACTCATTTTGGGTTTCTTAATTTTGTAACTTTCTGCCATTTTTTTTATTGTTTCGACTTTCGAAGAAAACAATTATTTATACTCGGTTTGATTTTTTTTATTCAGTCAATTTTCACCGATCCAAATAAGAGTTCTGGACAAAAGTTTTTTATACCCCATTGAAAATATCGACTTCTTGAGTTCAAATATTAAAAATTATATTTTACCTCCAATTATTTCTGTTAAGTTCTGAGGGTTTGAAATTGCCAAATTGGCCATGTTCTAGACTAAATTATGCGCGCTTTGAAGAGTTTAATCATAATGCTGAGAGCGTAACGCGAATCATTTATGCGTGGCGAACTATACGGCACAACAAAATTTTTCCAAATTGATTTGAGGCAAAACTAAGCACCGTAACTAAGAGGCATTAGGTAAGCTAATCGGTCGTATTTTTTTCATTTTCATACGACTTAACATTTCACACTTTGATATTGTTCAAATTTTATAGGATTACGTTATTTTCTTTTCCTAAAAACTATTCGATATGAATTAAGGGACTGTCGAAATATTCAGGGCTGTGCCCTGATATACGAGCAGTTTTGTTTGTTTACCAACGTGGGGGGGGGGGGGGGTAGGGGTAATTGAAGGTTCACTACGTTTAGATTTATGTATGAACCTTGTTTTCAAAATTTTACCGAAAAAAATATGGAGGGTAAGGGGGGACATACGGCAAATACCGGTGAGGGGAATGGTCAAATGGTCAAACTTTGATAGGGGTTAAGGACAAAGGGTCAAGAGTTGGTGGGGGAGAGGGTAACGGGACAAAAGTTGGGGGGAGGGGTTAAGGTGCAAAGGAACAAACATTGATTGGGGTGTAAGGGCAAGGGACAAACTTTGATGGGGGCTAAGAGCAACGTTTCAAAAGCTCGTGGGGGAGGAGGCAGGGGGCGAACTTTGATGGGGATTAAGGGCAAACAGCCAAACGTTGGTGGGGGAGGGGGCAAAGGGACTAAAATGGGGGAGTAGTTAGAATGCAAAGTAAAAAAAATTGGTAGGGGGGTGAGGGGCAAGGGGGACAAACGTTGTTGGGGGTAAGGGACAAATGTTTGTGGGGTAGGGTGTTGGCAAAGGGTCAAACGTTGGGTAATTTTAGATTTAGCAACCGGAAAGGCCGTAAATTTTCTGAGTAACTCATTTGTTATGAGGGCAGTATGAAAATCGAGTATATTGATAACAATTTAGGCCACATAAACTCATTTTAATTGATTTATTTTCCTTTTCATTAGATGGTGGTATAAAAGTTAATTTAAAAGTTAGTGCTTTTTTTCTCCAGTTTTAAAGTAAAACAAGACTGCACGCATCAGGACGAGGCCTTGAATGTTCCGACTGCCTTTTAAGGTCTATGGAGCAGAAATAACATGAAAAAATTAAATGCAATAAATGAAAATGAATTTTTTTTCAAGTTTGAGATATTTTGAAATTCATCCCCCCACACGCCATATAAAAAGCAAAGTGATAAAATTCGCTCCTAGAAATAAATCAATTATGGCAACTAAGCTTCCTTCAGCCAATTTGGAACTATTTCGAAGACGGACTAAATCTCCGCTTACGCGTTAATAGCGCGAAATATATCGCGCGTTAATTGTCCCAAATTGGCCAAAATGGCAATCTTTAAACTACCATAACCTTACGAAAAATGATCACAGCTGAAATATATTTTCAAATTTAAATTCAAGACAACAATTCTTTTTTAACTATAATTAAAAAAAATGACTAGTTGAAAATTCGAAATTTGTCTGAGAAAAAAACCCAACCCGAGCACAAATATTCCGTTACTTTCGACGATGTAAATGTCCTCGAGAAAAAGGACGAATAAACAAGCTGTTCAGATCTTTATGCACAACCGATGGCTTTATTCCGACTTTAGAAGAAAGTGATGGAAAGTTTGTGCCCGAGATGGTTTCTTTTCTCCAGACAAATTTCGACTTCTTAACTAGTATTTTTTGAAGCTTTTTTCCTTCTTCAATCATAGAAAAATTCTTTGGGCGTGAGATATCAATCTTTAAACGTTATTTCACTTTTCGTTAACTCTCGTAAGACTATGGGGATTTAAAAATTTCCAGTTTGGTCGATTTGGGATATTTAAAGCGCAATATATATCAAAGCGGAGATTTATTCCGTCTTAGAAATTGCTCCAAAATGATTTAGAAAAAATTTGTGAGGAGTTGTTTTTCAAACAAAAAGTTGTATTTTTATCAATCATATTCATTTTTTTGTTTGAAAAATTAATTCAATATTTGAAAAATGAAAAACAATGTTTTAATCGAACGCTTATATATTTTTTCTACTTTGTTTTTTTTTGTAGCGACACGCTATGTAAATTAAAAAAGCATGATTTTAGCGTTTCGTGTCCTAATCATAATACAAAATGACTCGCCTTATTGTTCCAACTTTTGTAACGAAAGTAACGGAAAGTTTGTATTCGGGGTGGGTTTTTTTTTTCTTCAGACAAATGTCGACTTTTTAACTAGCCATTTTTGACGGATTTTTTTTTTTTTTTTCATATCATTCAAAACCTAATGTTGTCCTGAGCCTAAATTTGAAAAAATATTTTACCTCTGATCATTTTCTGTAAAATTATGGGGGTTTTAAGATTGCCATTAAGGCCAATTAGGGACAATTAACGCGCGATATAATTCGCGCTATAAACGCGTAAGCGAGATTTAATCCGTCTTAGAAATCGTTCGAAAATGGTTCAACGAAGCAGTTTATATACCATATTTGATCTGTTAAATAAAAGGATTAAAATCTATCGTTTTGTACTTTAAATGGCGTCTGGGGGGATGATTTTCACAAAAAAATCTCAAATTTTCGAAGAAAAAAAATTTTCATTTTATTTTATTTATTTAATTTTATCAAGTTATTACTGCTTCACAGACCTTGAAAGGCAGTCGGAACATTCAGGGCTTTGCCCTGATACGAGCAGTCTTGTTTCAATTTGGATTTAATACGCCGATTACGCGTGTTTTAATAAATCAGTATATTGCATTTTAATTATCCCAAATTGTCCAAAATAGCATTTTTCAAACACCTGTTCCTTTACAAAAATGATCAGTGTTCTTTTTGACATTTGAGCATCAGAAAAAAATTATTTTCAAGTGGTATAGACGAAGTTTTGGTCAAAAACACTTAGTTACAAAGTCGAAAACTTATGGAATAAAAAAACCAACGCAAGCTCAAATATTCCGTAGTTTTCAAAAGCCGGAACAGTAAATACTCACAATAGTAAAAAGAGAACCGCAAACTTTTTTATGCTTCGGAGTTTACAAATCAACCTACTATAATGCATGCGAGGGATCAAATCAGGGTTTTTTAAATTGGAAAATAACCACGGAGAAAAAATTTGGCATTTGCAGCTTTGGAGATGATTAAATTGAACTATTCAAAAGATAGATTTCATGCTTCTTCCCATTTTACATTCGGTGTCTTGTGTGGTGTTCACTACTGATTGCTCGGGTTGCCATTTGGTTTTCTGCAGCAGAAGTAGCTCTGCAACATGTCAGTGAAGCCCTTCCTGAAGATCCTGCTACCCGCCAGGTAGAACGTGAAATTGAAAGATACATTCCAAGTTGCCGGCAGTTCCGCAAGTTGTCTCAGGGCAACGTATAACTGCCCCACTCTGTAATAAGGAAAAGCGTGAACATTTAATCAATCAAACTTAAACGAAGTACTGAAATAAAAGGAGGCAAAAAGGATGTTCTAGGCAATCAACCGATTGGTTATAATCTGGATGTAGTGATTTTGATTTGTTACATAAAAATCTTAGTAATGGGTCGGTATTCAGTCGAAAGTTAAGCCTAAAGTTAAGCCAATTGAAAGGAAGCCGACTTATCACATAGGGTAACCTAAATTCTCCTAAGATGTCTGCTGATCTGGGTCAGCAACTGATTTATTGAAGAGACATATTTGTTCAAACTTTTTCTACGCTCTGACGTATTTCGGCATTTTTTTAAAACTTTTTTCGGCAGCACAGTTTGACTAATAATCATGTTATTATTTTTTTGGAACCGAGCTGTTATTTTCTTTATTGGTGGCGCAAAGGGATTTTCTTCTCCATTTCTGTGGTTCGAAGCTATAAAAATTTGCTCAAACGCATCCAAAGATTAATTGCAGGCCAAAACTAAGCAAAACATTTTTTCTTTTGGGTTAATAAAGACCTCGAAAATTCGAAATGGTTGGCCTCGAACTCGAAAACAAAACGACAAAAAATGCCACTCCCCCCCCCCCCCCCCCCGCTTCCGCTGTTAAAAAACTTAAGCACAAATCATTGTTCTACAAGGTGGACGAATAAAAAACACTCATGCTACCGCGGTTGTCCATCTTCCAGCTGGGGTGCGAGATACAACTGCGTAAAAACGTATGCGCAAGTCACTGTTCTATAAGATAGACGAATAAAAAACTTTAATGCTACCGCGGTTGTCCATGTTCCAGCTGGTGTGCGAGATACAACTGCGTAAAAACGTATGCACAAATCACTGTTCTATACGATAGACGAATAAAAAACACTAATGCTACTGCGGTTGTCCACCATCCAGCTGAGGTGCGAGATACAACTGCGTAAAACTGTATCCGCAAGTCACTGCTCTATAAGATAGACGAACAAAAAACACTAATGCTACCGCGGCTGTCCATCGTCCAGCTGGGGTGCGAGATATAACTGCGTAAAAACGTATGCGCAAGTGACTGTTCTATAAAGTAGACGAATAAAAATCACTAATGCTACCGCGGTTGTCCATCTTCCAGCTGGGGTGCGAGATACAACTGCGTAAAAACGTAAGCGCAAGTCACTGCTCTATAAGATAGACGAACAAAAAACACTAATGCAACCGCAGTTTTCCAACTTCCAGCTGGGGTGCGAGATAAAACTGCGTAAAATTGTATGCGCAAGTCACTGTTCTATTAGATAGAATAAAAAAACACTAATGCTACCGCGGTTGTCCATCTTCCAGCTGGGGTGCGAGATACAACTGCGCAAAAACGTATGCGCAAGTCACTATTCTGTCAGATAGACGAAAAAAAAAACACTAATGCAACCGCGGTTGTCCATCTTCCAGCTGGGGTGCGAGATACAACTGCGTAAAAACGTATGCGCAAGTCACTGTTCTATAAGATAGACGAATAAAAAACTTTAATGCTACCGCGGTTGTCCATGTTCCAGCTGGTGTGCGAGATACAACTGCGTAAAAACGTATGCACAAATCACTGTTCTATACGATAGACGAATAAAAAACACTAATGCTACTGCGGTTGTCCACCATCCAGCTGAGGTGCGAGATACAACTGCGTAAAACTGTATCCGCAAGTCACTGCTCTATAAGATAGACGAACAAAAAACACTAATGCTACCGCGGCTGTCCATCGTCCAGCTGGGGTGCGAGATATAACTGCGTAAAAACGTATGCGCAAGTGACTGTTCTATAAAGTAGACGAATAAAAATCACTAATGCTACCGCGGTTGTCCATCTTCCAGCTGGGGTGCGAGATACAACTGCGTAAAAACGTAAGCGCAAGTCACTGCTCTATAAGATAGACGAACAAAAAACACTAATGCAACCGCAGTTTTCCAACTTCCAGCTGGGGTGCGAGATAAAACTGCGTAAAATTGTATGCGCAAGTCACTGTTCTATTAGATAGAATAAAAAAACACTAATGCTACCGCGGTTGTCCATCTTCCAGCTGGGGTGCGAGATACAACTGCGTAAAAACGTATGCGCAAGTCACTGTTCTATAAGATAGACGAATAAAAAACACTAATGCTACCGCGGTTGTCCATCGTCCAGCTGGGGTGCGAGATATAACTGCGTAAAAACGTATGCGCAAGTGACTGTTCTATAAAGTAGACGAATAAAAATCACTAATGCTACCGCGGTTGTCCATCTTCCAGCTGGGGTGCGAGATACAACTGCGTAAAAACGTAAGCGCAAGTCACTGTTCTATAAGATAGACGAATAAAAAACACTAATGCTACCGCGGTTGTCCATCGTCCAGCTGGGGTGCGAGATATAACTGCGTAAAAACGTATGCGCAAGTGACTGTTCTATAAAGTAGACGAATAAAAATCACTAATGCTACCGCGGTTGTCCATCTTCCAGCTGGAGTGCGAGATACAACTGCGTAAAAACGTATGCTCAAGTCACTGTTCTAGAAGATAGAGGAATAATAAACACTAATGCTACCACGGTTGTCCATCTTTCAGCTGGAGTGCAGGAAACAACTGCGTAAAAACGTATGCGCATGTCCTTGTTCTATAAGATAGACGAATAAAAACCACTAATGCTACCGCGGTTGTCCATCTTCGAGCTGGGGTGCGAGATACAACTGCGTAAAAACGTAAGCGCAAGTCACTGCTCTATAAGATAGACGAACAAAAAACACTAATGCAACCGCGGTTTTCCAACTTCCAGCTGGGGTGCGAGATAAAACTGCGTAAAATTGTAAGCTCAAGTCACTGTTCTAGAAGATAGACGAATAAAAAACACTATTACTACCGCTGTTGTCCATCTTCCAGCTGGTCTGCGAGATACAACTGCGTAAAAACGTATGCAAAAGTCACTGTTCTGTACCATAGACGAATAAAAAACACTTATGCTACCGCGGTTGTCCACCATCCAGCTGGGGTGCGAGACACAACTGCGTAAAAATGTATGCGCAAGTCACTGCTCTATAAGATAGACGAACAAAAAACACTAATGCAACCGCGGTTTTCCAACTTTCAGCTGGGGTGCGAGATAAAACCGCGTAAAAACGTATGCGCAAGTCACTGTTATATTAGATAGACGAAAAAAACACTAATGCTACCGCGGTTGTCCATCTTCCAGCTGGGGTGCGAGATACAACTGCGTCAAAACGTATGCGCAAGTCACAGTTCTATAAGATAGACGATTAAAAAACACTAAGGCTACCGCGGTTGTCCATCTTCCAGCTGGGGTGCGAGATACAACTGCGTAAAAACGTATGCGCAAGTCACTGTTCTATAAAGTAGACGACTAAAAAAACACTATTGCTACCGCTGTTGTCCAAAATCCAGCTGGGGTGCGAGAAACAACTGCGTAAAATTGTATGCGCAAGTCACTGCTCTATAAGATAGACGATTAAAAAACACTAATGCAACCGCGGTGTTCCAACTTCCAGCTGGATTGCGAGATACAACTGCGTAAAAACGTATGCGCAAGTCACTGTTCTATTAGATAGACGAAAAAAACACTAATTCTACCGCGGTTGTTCATCTTCCAGCTGGGATGAGAGATACAACTGCGTCAAAACGTATGCGCAAGTCACTGTTCTATCAGATAGACGATTAAAAAACACTAAGGCTACCGCGGTTGTCCATCTTCCAGCTAGGGTGCGAGATACAACTGCGTAAAAACGTATGCGCAAGTTACTGTTCTATAAAGTAGACGAATAAAAATCACTAATGCTACCGCGGCTGTCCATCTTCGAGCTGGGGTGAGAGATACAACAGCGTGAAAACGTATGCTCAAGTCACTGTTCTATAAGATAGACGAATAAAAAAACACTAATACTACCGCGGTTGTCCATCTTCCAGCTGGGGAATGAGATACAACTGCGTAAAAACGTATGCGCAAGTCACTGTTCTATAAGATAGACGAATAAAAAACACTAATGCTACCGCTGTTGTTCATCTTCCAGCTGGGGTGCGAGATACAACTGCGTAGAAACGTATGCGCAAGTCACTGTTCTATAAAATGGAGGAATAATAAACACTAATGCTACCGCGGTTGTCCATCTTTCAGCTGGAGCGCGGGAAACTACTGCGTAAAAACGTATGCGCAAGTCACTGTTCTATAAGATAGACGATCAAAAAACACTATTGCTACCGCGGTTGTCCATCTTCCAGCTGGGGTGCGAGGTAAAACTAGGTAAAAACGTATGCGCAAGTCACTGTTCTATAAAATAGACGAATAAAAAACACTAATGCTACCGCGGTTCTCCATCTTCCAGCTGGGATCCGAGATACAACTGCGTAAAAACGTATGCGCAAGTCACTGTTCTATAAAATAGACAAATAAAAAAAAATAATGCTACCGCGGTTGTCCATCTTCCAGCGGGGGTGCGAGATACAAATGCATAAAACTGTGTGCGCAAGTCACTGCTCTATAAGATAGACGAACAAAAAACACTAATGCAACCGCGGTTTTCCATCTTCCAGCTGGGGTGCGAGATACAACTGCGTAAAAACGTATGCAAAGTCACTGTTCTATAATATAGACGATTAAAAAAACTAATGCTACCGCGGTTGTCCATCTTCCAGCGGGGGTGCGAGATACAAATGCATAAAAACGTATGCACAAGTCACTGTTCTAAACAATAGACGATTAAAAAACACTAATGCTACCGCGGTTGTCCACCATCCAGCTGGGGTGCGAGATATAACTGCGTAAAATTGTGTGCGCAAGTCACTGCTCTATAAGATAGACGAATAAAAAACACTAATGCTACCGCGGTTGTCCATCTTCCAGCTGGGGTGCGAGATACAACTGCGTAAAAACGTTTGCGCAAGTCACTGTTTTGTAATATAGATGAATTAAAAACACTAATGCTACCGCGGTTGTCCATCTTCCAGCTGGGGTGCGAGATACAACTGCGTAAAAACGTATG